ACTATATTTATTTAATATAACAACTATTTATCAATAAAATAAAAAACTAATTATACAAAAATAGTAAAAATATGATAAAGAATAGTATCCGAGTAGTATATAAGGGTCGAAATAAACTCCAAAAATCAACAAACTTTTCCTTGTTAGTGTTGCTTCAAGAAACAGCACTAGCTCAGATGCGTGTTCCTGTGCACTTCGGACATTAGCGTCTGATGGTTTACCCTGGGAACAATTTTTGTATTGCCTTTTAATGGGCGCCTTAACATTTTATATTACGTTCCATTACTATAACTTTTAATATTATAATTTTTAATTACAATACATTATTGTTTTATTATAAAATATCTTATTTTGATTTTAATAACACTTAAAATCAACCCTTCCTGTTAGAAGTTATTTAACACTTTCACAACCCAAAACTTTTTTTTAAGAAGAAAAATAAGTAAAAAAGGAAATTGCCCAAATCATTTTTTATTATTTTTATTCCAAAACCCCTTTCTAACCCAAACCGGCCAATAGTCAGTTTTATTTTACTTAAAATAATTAACAAATGAAAACTCAATTACTTAAGATTGATCAAAAATAATCTTTTTGGACGAAATTTCATATCGCTTTATCGTGTTTCAACATATATAAAAACGCAACATCGTCAATCCACTTAATGACAAACAATGTCAAATAGTCACATTAACAAATATAACGACAATATAAACACCAATATCATTATAATCAAATGACAATAAACCTTTTATATAAAAAACAACCAAATATATTAAACCATCATTAGACCCCATTTTTCTTCTAATGCTTTGCTCTTGTTTAACACAAATAAACTCATTCATGTTTATTTGTGTGACTATAAAATATACAATTCAAAATTGAGTTGATACAAAAAAAAAATAAAAAATTTCAAAAATTTGTTTTGTGTATGAAGGCAAAAAAAGTGTTTAGGTAACAGAAAAAAATAAAAACTTATTATTATTACGTTTCTGTTTTGAACTTGTTAAATACAAATTTAAATTTTCGAAAATTGACTACTTATTTTATAAAATTAAAAAAATAGTTAAACAAACTATAAAAATAATAATAATAATTAAATTATCAAGATCAGTACTATTTATCATTGCAATTTGTAGTAATATAATTGACTGAAAATATCAACTTTTAGAAAATGTAAACTTGAGTTACAAATCAGTTTTCCACTCATGGATAGCTGATATCCATTACATGGATAGCATTTAATGGTGCTGTTGAGTATTTATAACACGTACTATGTCAAGTTTTTATTTGTTAAATAATTAAAATAGTATCTATTAGTTTTCAAACTAAAAATCAAACTAATAATATGAAACTGATTAAAAAAACATTATTTTTTTGACAGTCAAATAGAAAAGTGTGTTGTCACTTTGCTCTGAAATACTTTTGCCTCGTGTGGACTCGCAGAACGATGATGTTAAAAACACTGTGTTGCGATGTATTTCTGGGGTCGCAGCCAATATGGACGACACATTCATCACACAAATTACACAAAAGTTTATTCAAGAATTCAAAAAGAAAAAAAGATGAACCAAACACAAATTTTGTTTAACTCCTTGTTGTACTTTTGTATGTGGTTCGCAAAAAAATTCGTGAGAGATATCTTCTGCGTTATCATGACAAAGTTTGCAATTTTATAATTGCGACTTTGTTAAAAAGGACCTTGGTCTATAACGTCTATGTGTTAGAAATTGAAGAAAACAACGACGAGTTAACGTCGATTTTCAAAGCGACTGTTCTCTGGTTTATTTATAATGAGACATTGTTTATATGTGATACTACTTGACGATAATTATGTCTTTTTGATATTTTAACTCTAATTGCGAATTGCTAAAAAATGAGACTTTAAATTTGAAAGCAATATACAACTTTGTTACTAAAATATTTGTTTGTTTATCGGGGTTTTTTCGTGTGTATTACAATACACATTTTCCCTTTTTTTTGAATTAGTGAAATTATATTTAAAAACGTAAATTTTAAAACATTTTAAAGCAAAAACATTTTTTTAAGATATTTTAATTAACACCTAAAAAACATTGTTTTTTAGGTGTTAATTATTTAAATAAACACAAGAAGAAATGCGTAATAAACAAAATTATATATACATATATTTTAAACAGTTTAATTCATATTTAAGACCACTAAAACATCAACTATTTACAACAGGGAGTTCTAACCGTTAAGTTTTAGTCAATAAGAATTTACATATTTTAGTGTAGTTTTTAACTATATTTTCTGTTTTGAGTAAATTATAATTATAATTTGGTAAAATATAAATTACCAAAAAATATACAATTATTGTTGAAATAATAAATATTATATTTTATGAATAACATGAAGTATAACTTATAAAGTTGAATTTTTATACGAATCATCACTTATAATCTGTTTATAATTAATAAGGTTATTTCGAGTTTATAATAACTTATAAAATGTTATGTTTTTGAAATTCAAATATTTAAAACATCAAAATAATCTTATAAATGAATTCTTAATTATGAAATTTCCAAAATTAGAAACTTCATTTAGTTTGTATTTGTCATGAAACAGGACAACAAATTATATAAAAACATGAATACTCTAAAATTTTAATATCGAATAAATTATTCAATGTTAACTACTAACTCTTCAAAATATATTTCAATTGCTGTTTTGTTTTTAACTGGCATGGTTTCTCTTGTTTGTTATTATAATAAGTTTATTTTTTATTTGACTTAATGACATATAGATTGCATGGGTTGTGTGTTTGGTAATCATTACAAACATATTCTTTGGGTTTATAAAAACAAAAGAATATGATAAGGTTACCATTTCTTTCTTTGGTAACATGACGTATCTGATATCTCTGACTTTTCCTCTTGTGTTCTTCTTTTTATCTTTCAAAAAATGGCGAGGTGATATATCAAAAGCAACAAGAATTTCTTCTATTTTGATCTTTTTCATATCAAACCTTGTAATGGGTTTAACTTATATTATTCCTTATTATTATGTGAATTATGGTATGTTATGTCCAAAATGTGAAGAAACTCCTCAATCCTTGTTAAGCTACCATCTCAGTCTGGGGTTTCTTGGATTTGGAATTGTTTCTATGTTGTGTATGATATGTTATTCGATATTCGTTAGAGTTCAAAAATGTAATAAAAGAAAAGAAATTCCATTTGAGAAAATGACAGTCGAAGAAAACTTTTCAAATAAAACTAATTAAAAAGTTTTTATTCAAAGTATTTTTGGTTAAACATATGATATAATAAAATTATTGTTTCGTGTAACATTTAAACATACAGTAGGGAAAATGAAATTTAGCCCAAAGAAATTCCTATATTTTTCTTTAAAAACACGGGTTTTTACTAAAAAAACAAATATTTTGGAAATTTGACTTTTATTTAGGTATAGTTTATTATTTTAATATAACAATAGAAATAAATTGGTTTTTCTTTGGGCTAAGGTTAATTTGCTGGGCGAAGGTTTAATAACCCAACTGTATATCTGTATGTAAATAATACAAAAAATTATTACAAATTAATAATTTCATAAAATAAATGTGAATAAAAATACAAATTTAATCATTAAAGTATGTTATTTCATTATTTTTTATCATTTTGGATTTTTTCATATGGTGTTATGAAAAATGAAACAATAAACACAAAATATCTTATTCAACGATGTTTTGTTGTTAAAATATGTAAAATTATATGTGTTGTAATTATTTAATAAAGATATTGTAATATAATTGTTTTTAAACACAGAGTTGATAATATAAGTGTTAATATCTATGTTTTTTAAAAAAACTTAAACTTGTTAAATAATAATATTGATTATCATTAATTTTTAAAATAACTGATATTTTATTACACTATCAATTAAAATTTTTAATACCAATAGATGAAAATATAGGTGATGGTATTTATCTGTAAAAATGTGAATTGACAACACTATTGAATGTTTTTTATATATATATTCATTATTAAAAAAATGTGACTGATTATTATATGATTTAATTAAAATAATTATAATAATATAACAAAGATTAATAATAATAAATTTATTATATAAGTTACTAAATCAATAGTTATAATTGATAAAAATATTCAAAAATATGATTTATCTCCGATTTAATTTTAAAAAAAAATTTAACTATAAACAATAATAAAAATAAACTAGTAACATAAATTATGTTAAGTTCCTTTTAATTCTTGCTAAATAACTATTTATTAACATATCAAATAATCAACTTCAAAATAAAAAAAAAATGTTAAAAGTTCTTGACAAACTAGTGATACTATATTTAGTAGTATAATAAATTATAAAATATAATACAATAAACTTAAAACACAACTTAAAATTCTTTTCAACACTGTCTTTTTAAAAAAATGAAACCAGAAATCATAGCAAAAATAACAATTAAAAAAATATAACAACCCCACTATAACTAAATATCTTTGATCTTACAAATCAATAGTATGACTGCAACAGAATTTGATGCTGACGAAAGTTTGTTTTCAAATAAAAAGTTCTCAAATCACAAAACGAAAGGGTGATTATATTATGTGTTTTAAAAAATTATAATTTTTAACAAAACGAATTATCGAAAAACAATTTTTAAAAATATGGTATTAATTGTTATACGTGATTATACAAATTGTTTGTGTGATTTAAACACGTAAAAATATACAACTTCATATATATACAACAAATCGTTTCACATTCGTTTTGCCAAATTAATTATAATATTGTGAACTATAAATAAACTATATTTCTCTTATATTTTTAACTCAATTTTGTTATATTTCTTCTTCCCATTTTAATAATTATTTGTTTAATTTGATTATAGTTAAATAAAGCTATATTCAATACATTTTAGTCCCTTTTTTGTGACTATCGCGGTATAGTATTATTAGTTTACTTACTATTATGTTTAAGAATACACATGACTCGTAGAATTTACTCAAAAGGATACCCACGAAATGCTAGTGAAAGACGAGAACGAGACGGCGAACACATTGAATGTAACGGCACAAGCGGGGTACACCTTTGCGACACTGGAAAACCAAAATGTGAAAAAGCAGACGGAGAACATTAAAGAGATTAAAGAGAACGCAGAGGCGGTGGACAAAAAAGTCCAAGAGGCCGATGACACTTCGAAACATATTCGACAAATGCGGTGTGAAAGTCGTAAGTGGACTATTATCGGAACTACTGTTGGTATTGCCATTGCTTTGATCATCATTATCATCATCATCATTGTGCTTGTTGTTGTGTTCAAGAAATGATCTGTTGAACATTGCTAATCAATTAATCCGTTTTTTTTTTCTATGTTACTGTCGTTTTATATATTATTATTGTTTATTTAAATTGGCAGTCATAGTGTATCCTTTTTGAATTATAAATATAAATTTTATTTATAAATTGAATAAAACTATTCAAATGTCAGTGTTTGTAGATACAACATTATTTGAAAAGGTGGAAAAACAGTTCAATTTTATGAAACTATAAAGTGTTGTTGTATAATTACAAACTTAAACTTTTTATTCATTTTTTAATATCAATGAAGAATTATTACTTATTCTTGATTTATTAATGATATTTTTCATATTTAATTATAAAGTAGTTCATAAATAATATCCATCTTTTAACCACTTCTCCATCGATGATAATTTATATTAGATTTGTAATAATTTAAAGAGTAATGTTAATAATATTGTTTAAATGCACTATATGTAGACTTTAGACTTTATCTAAAAAATAGTTTATTGTATTTTTAATTGTGATTTTATTTACTAAAAGTATTTATACCAAAAAAATATTTTCATTGGCTTGTAAGTTAATAATAATCATAATTTAAAAAACACTTATAATAGTTGATTATTGTTTATACTTAACAACATTAAACTTGCCATAATTATGTGAATATAACATCAATAATATATTCCAAAGATTATAATAAATAATAATAATATTAACAAAAAATAAATAATATTAACTCACACACCGAAACAATATCATTTCAATGTTAAGTGTATTTTTTATATAACTGGTCAAATATTGTTATAATTTTATATAAAAGTATCGATTTAAAATAATAAAACCTTAAATATTAGTTTTTGGAATTTATTGTTATTTCATTTTTATAATTACTTTTAATTGAATTACTGTCTGATGTATGTCCAATCAAAATCCACTCATTCATTTTATTATTTGAATAAAAAACGACTGAAATTTATAAACAAATAAATTTGTAATTTGAAAAAAATGACAAACTTAAATTTATTTTTCATTCTCCTATATTTAAAATAACACGTTTATAATAATATAAAATAACGATAACGATAACGATACTTAACAGATATATATAAATATATATATATTACTTGATAAATAACTTTAATTTTGTCATTATTATATAGTACTTTTTAATTAAAAAATAATCACAAGTATAAATCACTTTTGAGTGTATTTCCATCTAAAATATCATCTGATGTTTCTGAAAAATAACATTTGATTGATACATTTATAATTATTATAAACAAATCTATTAACTTTAATACCTTTGCCAATAAACAGTAAAAATAAATTATTATTTGTACCCATTCAAAATATAATTAACCCAAATTTTATTCTTCTATTTTATTACAACCATATTAATTAAAATCGAAGTAAATAATCTTTACAATAATAATAATATATATTTCGAACAAATTTTGAAAACCTCAAATCCAACATTTTGTTTTTAAGTTATTGTTATTTTTCAAAAAATCTCCTCAGTTTGGGTTTTCTGTGTAACTTCTATTATTAGATTTTTATTTATGAAATTTATTTATTTTAAATTATTAATATATAGTAAAATAATTAATAATATTAATAATATTAATAATATTCTTAACTTGTGTTTTTATTCTGATTTTTAGGCAGTTGGTTTTTTAAGAAAAAAGAGACCAACAGACAGTCCAATATTATTGTCTTTTTAATGAAAAATGCGTTCAGAACATCAAACACGATGGATTGCATTTTGTTTATATAAAGACAAAATGAAAAAATGAAGGAAAGAGACAAAAACGTGTTGAACAATTTAAAGAAAAGTTTTGTCAAACTTTTTATAACAAAACTACAATGCCCAATTCAATCAAACACAAAATGACTTCAAAATCAAAGAAAGTGTTTTTAGTGCTTGGAGCAGTTTATTTTGTAATGTGTTTTGTTTGTTCTATTTTTTACTTTTAAATATCTTAATCAGTATAATTCAATTGAACACACATCAACAATTGTTTCTTAGACATTTTAAAACCTTCTTTGTGTATTATTAATCATTTTGGATTTAACGTTTTTAATGTATTTGAAATCTTGTTTCTTGTGTGTAATTTCAATGTTATATATATATATAATTAATTTTACTATAATACTATAATATTATAATAATTAAATACTATAATAATTCTATAATAATTCTATAATAATTACTTAATACTGACACATAGATATTTTCAACAATGGGTGCTATATCCAAATTGTGGGCATTATATAGTATGAGTAATTATTATGGAGAAGACCGGACAGTTGTATTGGGATCTGCACTTTGTTATTTAATAGTGACAATCATGAGCGTCTTCTTTTCATTTTTGGTCTTGGGGTATTTAGTGTACTTCTATGTATCTCAAAGATCAGAAAGGATGTATATAGATATGGTATTAAAAGGTATGATGGTATTTCTTTTAATAGTATCTTTGTTCCTTGTGAATGTTCCGAAACAAAATCTGTTTCAAAAATATGTCATTGAAGATGTCAAACAATTTGAATATGAAGTTTGTGTTTCATTGTTCGATAAATTTGAAAATTTATAATAATGAATAGCACAAATGTTGTGTATTGCAGTCTAAAGATTTAAATGAGATATCCCCCACATGTGGGTGTGTTTACAAATATGAAGAATACAACACTTTAAATTCAGACTGTGGGGTATGTCGGACACAAAGTGATTTAACCACGGTAGTGTTGATAACTCCCAAATCTGTTTCTATTATAGAGGAAATACTGATGTTAGTTGGAGTAATGGGTATCTTTGGTCTTGTTATTTGGACTAATATAAATTCTGCAAAAAAGACAAAAATGGTTTTTGATGATCCATTTTAATAATAACAAAAGTTAGTTTTGGAGCTAAAACAATGTAATTATTAGTTTAGTATATTTTTAGTTAAAAACAAACATTATTATTTGCTCGTTAATTTCATTGTATTATTTAAATACTATTAGTTTTACTATGTATTATATGGTACATTTGTATATTATATTTAATATATTTATTAGTAGTTTTGGTTTTAAAAGAGTTATTTATTTATAATAAAAATATTAAATAAATTAACTATATTTTAATAATGATCATTATAATTCAATAAATAGTTTTGATTAATATTGGTTATATTGTTAACTTATTGTGGATTAAAATAAAAAGTGTATCTACTTTGATAATACAATATGAAATTGTCACTAATTCATTGATTTTAACATGGATATTATATAATTTTTAAAAGAGTTGAAATAATTAATTAAATACTAATATAATATCATAACTAAATTAGTTGAATTATTATATAATATATGTTATGCAATAATATTATTTTATTCAAAAAAGTGTAAAAACTTTAATTAAAATGGATTGGAACATAAATAATACGTACAAACATTTTTATGTATATAAAAGTAATATAAAATATGCTATAGTATCGAAATTAATTTGTTTTTTAAATCATCTATTTTATCAAATAGATTGTAATTAAAATCCTAACCTGAAAGTTAAAAATATTACCTTTGTTATGGAAAAAATAAAAATATGTAACTTAACTTCGATTTATTAAAAAAACATTCATTTTAATCTTTTGACATTTTTTACTCTGCTTGAAACATTTTATTAATTTATAAACAATTCAAAAATTTTTTATTATTTAAACAAAAAAATTAGGAAACAATTATTTATTATTTAAACTGTTTGTTTAAATCTTTGAAAACCAAACAACTTTATGGAAAGACTCGACTTTCAAACACTCAGAAGGATGAATCACTCACAATTAAAACCATACTTTGAACAACTCTTTGCTTCTGAATTCCGCATTGCGAACAAAACTCCTGAAAATGATCAAGTTCAGAAATTTGTTGAAAAGGCAATGAAAAAGGTGAACAAGTATTTTGGAGAAGTCAAAAATGATGAACAATTGAACAAAAAACCAAAAAAGGAGAAATTTCAAACTGAGAACATTGATTAACAAACTCTGTACATTAAAACATATTTTGTTTCTGTATTCATTCATACCAAATATTAAAAATATTTGGACTTATATTCAAATTATTCAAATTATAAAAATTTAACAATAAAATAATGATATTTTGCTTTATTAACTTTTAAATAAAATTAATTTGTTTGTAACTTTTTAATTTGGAGAAGCTAAAAATAATATATATTTGGTTATATACATTGTTAAATAATTTAAATTGTGTATGGTTTTCATATAGTTAATAACTAATATAATGTGTAAATTAACAATAAAATAAATTCACCACCATTATTGTTTTATATATACAATTGTTGTCAATCAAACTGTTTGTTATAACTTTTAATGTTCAATAATAATATCAATAAAGTGTAGTTGTCATTTTTGAAAAAATAGACATTTGCATAAATGCTGTGTAATATATATAATATTACATAATTAAAAATATAATCATTATATTCATTTTATAAATTAAATAATACTCATTCCTTGATATTAACTATTTATTAATTGAAATTAATAAATTCAATTCAAAACTGCGAAACTTCCAACATTAAATTAATTGTAACACCCAAATTTGTTTCAGTTTACTCTTTTCTCCACTAATGAAACACCCACATGGTGCAGTGTATGACTTTTGAGTAAAAGACATTTCCATTTCACCATCCACAATCATCGCCCCAATATCATAACCAATGCCAAATGCAAAACACGTTGGGTGGCGGTCTGAATTAACGATAAAGGCTCTTTTGAAACATTCTTCTGTTTGTCCAATTGCAAATTTTTGCACCGAGTACGCTCCATTTCTTTTAATTGTGAAAATAGAAGCATTTTTGTCTGATATGAAGTCATTCACTTTCGTCACCTTTTCATAGAACACACCACCAAAGACATTGGAATAATTGTCTTCCACTACAACACACAAATTTTGTTTTCCAACAACACTGTTGCAGAAGAAATTTTTGATCTTATCTTTGTTCTTAGCTGTGTCATAGAAAATGACTTGTTTCACATTTTTAGATGTCAAACTTTCAATTTGTGAAGTTAAGAAACAGTTGCCACCATTTGGAGTGACTTGAAGAGATGAAGCTTCTTGTGCCTTTTGAGACGTCTGTATTTTCATTTGTTTGATTTTCTCAATTTTGTCTTGACACTTTTGCGTCTCAAGTTTCTCAAGAATGTCAAGCACTCGATTGTGCTCTTCATAAAGTTGTAATATTTTGGCATTTTCATTTTCAAGGGTTTTTATAAATAATTTAAAAATAGAAATAGAGTCTTCAATTGTCTTTTGGTGTTTTTTCGATCGTTTTACTTTCTCGTCTAAAATGTCATATTGTGTTTCTGCTTTCTCATATCTTTTATCAAAACTTAATTGGGTGTTATCTTCAAATTTGGTAAATTCACTTTGTGACGCATTTTTGATGTTCTCTGTAAGTAACTTCTCACATAGGGTTTGTGCCTCTTTGGCGATGATTTCCATTTCTTTTTCCTTTCAAAGATGTAACACAACTTTAAAAATTTATTTAAAAAATTGATGTCAGGTTTATACTATAATTATAATATTTTTAGTATTAAATTTAACTATTGAGTTGTGTTGCGACTGGAATGTATTTTTTTTATTTTCAAACAATAAAAAACCGAAAGGCCGTTTCCGATATAATTAAAATTTTACGTTACATGACATTATTTTTGTTTCAAAATATATAATATCGGAATGACCCCTATTTTACTTTTTGACATATATTTTGATAAAAAATGTGAAATTAAAATGTATTATAATAAGATTCTATTCAAAATCATAAATAGAAGCAATACAAGACTCTTCAACTGAAAAGGTGTTAAATGGAGCAGTCTATTATTGACTTGTTCTTTACTAAATTTGTCCAACTCAATCATTACGCTTCCGAATTTAATGTGATGTGTGGCACACCAGATTTCCTTCAAGAAGTTAATGGGTCGACTTTATTTCGTCTCGAATACCTTTCAAAGACATATCAACAATTACAAACAGAAGTTGAAATTTCAAAAAAATACGAACAAAGTATAGCGGAATTTAAAAACTTGACAACAACCCTCTTCCAAACCCTAGAAGAAGAAAATAACAAAATCCAAAGGGTTTATGCCAAGTACAATAAATTGCTCGACAACACCATTGAATTGTTAAACGAAAATAAAGAAACACGACTGAAGGAAATCAAACAGCAAAGAATTGTCCCAGAAACTTTTTCAATGATGAATTCGCTTGAGAGGAAAGAAATAGAAAAGATGAGTGGCCTTCAAGTCTCTGATATCATCTTTGAGGGGAAGGCATCTGAGTATTCCAATATTAAAGAATTCTTCTGTAAAGGAATCATGCAGAAAGAAAAGTTGTGCATTTTAATAGAAGACAATTTAAATAATAAATTTGGAGGTGTCGTCTATGAAAAGATTACAAAACAACAAAAATGCATTTGTGACCACAAAGCATTCATCTTTGTTCTTGAGAATAATGGAGCGTTCGATCCGATGAAAGTCATGTTAAAAACAGCAAAAGGGACTGAGGCGTTTGCTACTAACCAGATCGAAAGTAAAAAGTTGTTTACATTTGGGTCAGACATGTCTTTGACTTACAATGAATTGATAATAAAATTTAAATGTATCAGTTTTAAGAAACTACTATTTAAATTTAGTACCACAGCAGTTAAGAGTATTGCTGTTATACAACTGAAGTGATACTTTTATATTCAAATTAAGTTATTTAATTTTTATAATTTTATTCGTATCGAATTGGCACTTAAAATAACGCTCCTGTTTTTCAATTGACTTGTTTTTATGTGGGTATTAATTCAATTTCAGATGATTTTATATTTTTCCTTGTTTAACACGTTCAAAACAGAAACGTAATAATAATAAATTTTTATTTTTTTCTTTTACCTAAAGGGGTGGAAAAAAAGCGCTGCAAGAAAAAAAGCGATGTAGTCAAATTTATAGTTTTTTATTAATTGTTTTATAATTTGTTGTATAGATATGTTTTCCAATATTCTGTGATATGATTCAAAAAAACGAGGTTTACAAAGAAAAACTTATTCAAAAAAATTGCCCAAGTTGTGAAAGTCAATGTGTAAATTGTTTTTTATTGCTAAAGAAAGTTGAGTTTGCTGAGATAAAACACGAAGAGTTTCAATTTGTTTCTTCGAAAATCTTCATTGAGGACAATTTATTGTCAAAAATCCCAGAAAGAGTTCGAATTTTTTGCTCATTTTTTTATTATTTTTTTCAACATAAATTTCCATTTTTTGCGAAAATACAAAAACTTAAAATCGAAACCCCGCGAGTGCACCTTATTTTCACACCCCCTACGAGTTTTTTTTCTTTTTTTTTCAAAATAAAAGGTGATCTTTTATTGGATATTCAACAGTGGGCACTCAACCACCCTGAACAATGTCAGTCTCAATTTACAAGGCTTAAATTTTTGATTGAACGATTCACACCGTCACTTACGAAAGAAGGGGTGCACCTTAATTTCACACCCTGTACGAACGGATTCCTCATTCGTTCAGAACTGCATTTAATGGCCAAACTTAAAAACGACATATTGAAGTACCACATGTCTAGAAGTTGAGCGTCTCCACTCCCAGTCATTTTTAGAGTCCCCGTCGAACAAGCGATAAACAACTCGTTCTATTTTTTCACTTCCTTTTTTCAAAATTTTTTAATAAAATTGAAGCAAAACATGAAATATGGTAAATAAAATGGTAATAAGACGAATGTTTTGAATTAAAACGTTTGCAGCGGTAAAAAGACTTTGCATGTGTCCATCCGGGTTTTCAGTGTTTTTTGCCCTGAAATGCTCAAAAATTCAACTTTTTGAGGCAAAAATGATTTTGTGTTGCATTTCTTAATATAAAAAACATGTGAATGGTAATGCAGCGCTTTTATCCGCTGTGCAGGTGAAAGTTAAAAAGACGGGGAGGCTTTATCATGCTAGCCTGGAGTACGCCAGCCATAACTTTTTGGTGATAACAAACACTATACTGGTAATATATTGTGTGTTTTTTGTTGAGAAGAGGTTAACGAATTAATTTTATGCCGTGAAAAAAGACCACATTTTTTCTCTGTTTTTTGGTAAATCTTGGCTTTATGGGAGAGTTTGTGTGTTACAATTGCTTTGATTTGGTAAAAAAATGTATGCATCGGTTTTAAGTTTTTGTATTTTTTTCATGTTTTTCACTTGAAGCAAAACAAAAACAAGGTAAAAACAATTAATTAAATTGCTTGTGATTGGTATTGCAGCGGTTTTTTCCGCCGGGTAGATAAATCTGCCAAAACTGCATTTTGATTATTTAATGAGGAAAAAAGAAAGAAAAACGGTGAAAAACACATTGATAACAACTTTGTACGTCTTCTTTGGTTGTAGTTGCTCAAGCAAAACTCAACGGAAAAAACATTTTGAAACAGTTTCAACATGACATCCTTTAAATTTGCGTGTATTGCTAAGTTCAATAAAAACGATCGAAAAGAAATTAAAGGCTTTGGATGGCACTTTATGTGCATTTTATAAGTAATTTTATGGTTTTATTTCATTTTTTGTTCAAGTATATACTATAATTATAGTTATTAATAATTAAAAAGAGAATTGGTTTTGTTACTGTTTGATAAGATTATAAACAAAGCAACTCTTTAAAAACTCATAAAACAAAACGTTTTTAGTAATCTAAAATATAATTGATAATTATCAAAATATTATTAAAATATTATTAAGTATTTTTCTTAAAATATTAAAAACGAACTAACTTGAACATACATTAGATTAGAGTTAATAACTTTCTTTTTAGAATAAAGAATGGTAAACAAAATAAATAAAATACAAACGTCTAACCAACAACGTAATGAATATAAGTTAAAAACAACAATATAAGACAATGATAACACCAATAAACATAATAACACATTCATGTCCAAACCAATTGATACATCAAAAATTCCCCATCAAAAGTATAAATATAAATTTCGAGACGAAAAGATCGAAAGCCTTTCCAAAAGCATGAAAGGTCCCGTCGTACCTCGCTCGACTCGCATTATTGAGTATTTAAAAAAAATTTCCCTCTATTATTGATATTTTTAAACAACTTGACGAACATTTTAATTTCGTTTTGTTTATTTTCGAGATCAAGTAAGATATTGTTTGGAAAGATTACCCGAAAATACTTCAATTATTTTAAAGTCCAAAAATCTTTCAATGACAAATGCTTTAGAAATTTTTTTTGGAACTTCTAAAAATAGAAGTGTGAGGTCTCAAATTAACAAAATTAAAAAAGAAGAAATTTTGGATAAAAAACCCGAAAAGGGAAGAAAAAGGATCCTCAATGATGAAGAAATTGAGGAAATTCAAAAAGCTATTAAAAATAGAAAAACAAAAAAAGCGAGTCAAGAAGAAACAAGTTGTTTTATTTATGAAAATTTCGGCAAAAAAATAGGAACCAAACAACTCCACAAAATAATTACACATGTTTTCGAAATTGAGCCTAAAATTGCACCAGTTATGGAACTAAAACGCGCAGAAGTAACACAAGAGTCTATTTTGCAATATTATACGGAATTAAAGAAAAAAATAGACGGATGCCGTTTTGAGCTCATTTACAACCTTGACGAGGTCGGTTTTGACCAATGGGTTGATGCTCGTTCCAAATTGGTTTACGTGGAAGTTGGTACGGGTGAATATGTTTTTAATGAAGTTGAACGAGACAATTCAAGAACAAGTATGCTATGTTGTGGTTGTCTTGATGGCACAAAAATGATTCCGCTAGTTGTAACAAAAAGGCTATCTATAGCCGATGAAACAATTATTTCACTAAAAAGTCGGGCTTTAATACGACATCAAAAATCGGGAGTTTTAAATACAAAACTTTATACTTTGTGGTTGAAAAAAGTTTTTTTCCCGAATATTAGGGTAAAACGCGACTACATGGGTGTAAGACAAGACACAAAAGCTTACCTCATTATTGATGGATTTTCGGGTCACTTTTCCGAAGAAATAGAAAAATTATTTATGGAAAATTGTGTCGAAATAATCAGAGAAGTTCCCCATAGTTCCCATTTATGTCAGCCGATGGACTTGGGAATTTTCGGGATTCAAAAAACCTTTTTGGGAGACAAAACCAATTTTCTTCAACACAAATTTAACTTAATGGAAAAGGAAGGTAAAAAATATGAAAAAACTGGGAAAATTTTACAAATGGATTCTCAAGAGTTTAAAAATGTTTTAAAAAAATATTCACACATGTCCGAAGAAGAAAAAATAAAAGAGCTTGTTTACTCTTGGGAATGTGTCGCAAATGGTGAAAACATAATTAGTGCATTCAAACAAGCTGGTATTACTTTTTCACCACACATTCCTAATGATGCCGAATTGTTATTAATAGAAAGAAGTGATCCCGATTTCAACCCATCAGATTTTGTAATAGGTGTAGCCAGGGTTGAAATAAATAGTGCCAGGGAAGTGTGCAAATTTTTGGGGAAAATGTCCGAACCAAAAACAACAACATCTACACGTGTTGCTCTTGAGAACACATTGGATAGAAAAAATAGATTGGAATGTGAAAAAATAGTGAAGGAAAAAAACGAGATGAAAGGTATCAATAAGAAGCTATTTATTGAAAAAAAGCCTCGATTAGAAAAACATTAATTTATTTAATTAATAAAATTATTTTTTATATATCAAAAACAACTAATTTATAAATAAAATGTTTTAATTACGACAAATCAACTTTCTTTAATAATAAATTGTATTTACTTAACTAATATCAAATTATTTAATTATTTTATATAGAAAAGTGATATTTTTAGACAAAAAGGAATTACTTTTTTGTTATAATTTTAGTACATAATTTAATATTTTTAAAGTAAATATATTTATTGTATTAATATATATAATAAATTAAATTTATAATTTAATATAATACAGTAAAAATTCTATCGGTGTGTCTTTTTGACCAATCAAAAGTGGCATATAGAATTGTTACTGTAATTATTTTTATAAAATACGAAATAAATTAATGAATTTGAAAATACTGAAATGTTATATGGAACGGAAAAACAACCATTTATATTAAAAATTTACTAAAATATTTTAAATTTAAAAATATCGATTAAAAATGTGTTTAAATAGTTTCTGAAATTCAATTTTATAATTTCATAACTTTCGGGTGTTTGTATAAATAAAAAAGTTCGAAACGTGTTCAATATTGTTTCTCTTTTTGTATTAATTCTTTACAATTATTTTATAATTGTTTATTAATATTTATAGTATTTTTTTAATTATCAAGTTTTTTGGCAGATTTTATTTGATAATATCTTTTCGAATTTGTACAATGTCATTAAACAAATTGACAAAAAGTATCTTTATTTTTTTTTATTTTATATAAAAGGACAACTCAAAACCGAATAATCAAATCATTTTATCTCTGTCAAGACAAGAAACATGTTTGTTAAATTATAAATAAGAGCGAAAGACATTAATCACGAAAAGGTTCGCAATTGGTGAACATTGTATTGTTGAATAATAATGATAATACAAAGTTTAAAATCAAACAAAAGATAATTGTAATGACATGAAACGTCAATGAGAGGGTGTGTTTGAAGTGGGGTTATAACGCGAGAGTTGAAACCACGACGTTCCTTGTGGTCGTTATAATGGCTAAACGAAACACACACCTGAAGACTAATTCGAACGTCTATCCTATTAAAGTGTTAATTGAAACTATATATTATTGTTTATTTTTTTATAAAATATACAATATGTTTATAAATAGTTTTTTAATTAATGGCATTTCAATTTGTTGATTATTCCTATTATTTTACGTCTAAACAAGCTTATATTACTTTTAATAAACCTAATATAAATAGACACTTTGACATTCCCTCAATAATTATGATATTTGT